GTCCCGTGCGAATAGGGCTTTAGTGTTTATTGTAATACAGTTATACCTTTAGCTATAATGTAGTTAAAATGAACATAAATTCCTTTTTTCACTGTTTAGCAAATTGGCAAAAATGACTTTTACTGCTTATATTTACAGACTTGCATCTTTCTTTTATGAAACTTCAGGTTCAGAGTATTCTAGACTGGTGTGTAATGTGTACATGTACTACAGTAATTGTGTTTGTATGCATGTTTTCAGGTATTTCACAACATAAACACCATGATATGTCTCCTTTCAGGCTGGAGTTTGAGAGTCAGTGCGCTCACTTGAATGCAAATCTGGAGTACGAGCAAAACCAACTGGAGCAGCAGAAAAGGAAGCTCTGCAAAATGGAGGAAACCATTGACAAGGAGGAGAAAATCATTGCTGTGCAGAAGAAGGTAGCCAGATCAGGCATTCATTTAGTGATATTGCTGATATAGTTCACAGACATCAAAGTGGCTCCTGTCAGATGGGTAAAATGTGTCCAGAATGGCAGGTTTAGTTACTGTTAACAAACATGGCACATATGTATTACCCACATTCTTTTGGAACATAGATTTCTTCCAAATGTGAATAAAGAACAAATCTGTATTCAGGGCTTATTCTGGACACGGTAGCTGATGTGATATTGAACCTGTCAGCGATTGCAGACTTTTTTGGCCCGATGTTTCCATTTCTCCTTTAGGAGGAGGAGAAGCTGCTGGAGGCGGTGGAGGAGAGTCAGAACAAACTGTTGGAGCTGAACAACCAGCTGCTGTCTAAGAAGAGCCAGGTGACTGCTGCCAAAGCTGAGCTGGACCAGGAAATTCAGAGCGTCCAAGAAATAAACAAGTAACACTACCACTAATACTCCAGTTCATTTGCTACTGTTGCTGTGCTGTAGTGCTATTATTCCTGCCATCACTGCCACTACTTGCTGCTACAGTTAGTACTGCAGCTGTTATGGACAGTCACCTCTGTACAAACTGCTAGAAGAAGTTGTATCCAACAGCCAGTGATTTGTTGTAAACTTTAAGATAAAGTCAACCTCAACAAAACATTATAACATACTGACTGCTAAATTGATCGACTCTTAATACACATATTAACATTAGATAACAGAAACTATGGTATTAATGTTTTCAGTTTGGTTGTTTTCATCTGTAGTATTTGTAAAATCATTAGTTTAACAGAACTGTGAGTGTTTGAAGACCTTGATGTCTCAAGAAAACAGCACTTAATAGGATCTTGCCTCTGTAACATGATGGCTTTCTGGTTTAAACAGGACATTGGTGTGGGTTTTTTTCTGGTATTCCATGAAACTAACCATCAAAGTATTGATTCAGTTTTGGTTTGGAAAGTTTGGATGTGCACTATTTTCTGTCTCTCTTTTTCTCAGAGAGTTTTTGAAACTTCAGCAAAAGGTGGCGTCTGCAGAGGCGGCTTTGGAGCAGAAACGCATGGCCAGACACAACTTACTGTTGGCCTGCAAGATCCAGAGTCTGCCCATCACTCTGCTGTCAGGAAACCTGAATGAAATCAGTGAGGTGCAGGTAGGACATAAAGGAGGGACACCAATCCTGCACAGTTTTGGAAAAGTACTGAATATTATTTATGCTCGAATAATCATTTTGAAAAAAATAAGAATGTAATATTAGAAGCTCTAGAAACCCTCGCATTAGAGTAATGAAGACTGAGAAACCCTAATGAATTTTTTAGCAATGAAAACAACCTGAAGCACTTTCGTTCTTTCTTCTGGTCTCTGCAGATTGACACAGAATCTGAAAGCACTTCAGCCACCATGGACATCTACGAGAGAGAGGCACAACTTATCATCGACTACTCCGACCTGGAGGCAGAAATCAGAGTGAGACATCAAGCCTCGTCTTTTACCTAATTTTCTCTTAGTGCTGTTAATGCAGCTTCCTGTTCATTTGTGTGTGTATAGAGTCTACAGGCAGAGGAGGAAATGGACGCCTACTTGGAGAGACTGAAAGAGTCACTGTCCTCTATAGAGGGAGTACTGCATCGCACCACTGCCCCTAACCTGAAAGCTCTGGAGAAGATGAGGGAGGTGAAGGACAAGTTACAGGGAGTGACAGAAGGTATTTTGTTGTTTAGTGTATCCGTCAAGTTTTTAATTTCAAAATGAAACTCTAAGCCGGTTGATTGTATTTGTGTGTCAGTGTAGAAGTTAACCTTTTCCTCAGTGGTCAGCATGTTGAAATTCTTCAGCATTTCATTTACATAATGGATTTCTCCCTGTAGTTTAATGTTGTAGTAATACTTAGTTGTAGTATAATAACTAAAGTGCATGCACTGCTGAATCAACTTTGTTTCCTGTCCTTCACTCAGCCTTTGATGCCAGCACCCGAGCAGCCAGAAAATGCAATCAGGAGTTTGAACGAATCAAATCCCAGCGCCTCCACCTCTTCAACAAGTGCTTTGAACACGTGTCCGTCGTAATCAATGAGATCTATAAAAGAATGTGCAGGAACAGCAGTGCCCAGGTGAAGCAACCACAGAAACATACTCACTCAAGTGTCAAAGTTTAGTGTGTTTGTGTGTCGTTTTTTTTCTTCCCTCACACAGTCATATTTGCCTAACTGTACTTGACACATACCCAATAACCAACCAGCAGGGTTTGTGTGCACTGCAGTGGTGATTTGCTGCTGCACATTGAACAGTTTACAGTTGTGGTGTATACATTTAACGAACCCACTGTGGTTTCCTCATGAAGGGCACTTAAACTCAGCCTACGGTGTGAACTATACATAATTCATGCTCTTTAGCACTGGGCATTACAGAATGTGTTACAAACATGAATAAGATTCCTTAAATGACAAGCTCCAATAAATGAAATTAAGACAGACTGCTATATGTGTTCCAGGCCATTCTGACCGCAGAGAATCCAGACGAGCCGTACCTCGGCGGCATCAACTACAGCTGCGTGGCGCCAGGGAAACGCTACATGTCTATGGACAATCTGTCGGGTGGAGAAAAGGCCATCGCTGCCCTGGCCATGGTGTTTGCCATCCACAGGTAACACTGACAGACTACATGACATTATATTACAATACATCAGAATATGATAGGGGAAACTGGAAAAGTGTAAAAGATTAAACGAATCACCTGAAAAATTGCACTTGTATATAATTGCACTGGATAATGAGTGGAATAGACATAATAATGCATCTTTGATGATAGATTAACCCCCCACGGCTGTAACAAAAATGAAAAAGGAGCTGCAGTGTAAGAGAGCTGTTGACATACCGTGAAATATCTTTGAGAAACTACAGCAGATGACTGGGGGTACTCTGCTTTTAATGATTGTGAGTTTTTAACTGATGAATGGAAAAATGAAGTAAAGACTGTAATTTGGACAGCCTGTTGATCCTCTTGTCTTTCACATTATCAGCTTAGTGAAGAACTCTCTTCTAAACCAACACAGGACATCTCCCTGAACCCATACACGGTTTTTTGCTTTTTTTTGGACTGAAATTATTGTTCCTTCTTAAATGAAAGCCTTTCTTAGCTCTTTTGACTGATACTTGTTGCCGTTTGAAGCATTTCCACATTATGTGATACATCAGTTTGAATGACATTTGAGCCACATTGCTGGCTGTCTGTGTCTGACTGTTTGGCACACTGGTGTTTGTGTCATTTCATTTCCCTCAGCTTCCGCCCTGCTCCCTTCCTCATCTTGGACGAGGTAGATGCTGCCCTGGACAACACTAACATTGGCAAGGTAAGATTCCAGCTGCATCCCGGATTTACTATTATATCTACAGTACTGTTATTTAAATTTATCAATAAAAAATAT